GAAAGATCAAAGACAATTTTTAATATAACTCCGACTGGATTCGTCTGAAAGAAGAAAGTCATATACACCTAGGAGACCTCAGGGTGAATAAAACGCAGCCTAATTTTCATTTTTGAGTGAACTAACCCTTTAAATTGAATAAAGATTAATTTGAAGTACTAACATTAATAAAACTAAAACATAAATAAAGCTAAAGAGAAATATAAAGAAAACCAAAAACTGTTTATATTATACTATATGTTATAATACCAACTGTTTATGTTATACCATAACAAAACAGATAAAAATAACATCAATAAAATAAAATATTTCAAAATATTACAAAAATTGTTATATATATATATATATATATATATATATTTGTTACCTTTATTTCATTTATATTTTTTACTCTTTTCCTTCTTCCACACTCTGCTTTACATATATATTTAGATACATTTTGAATAGAGATGCACACACACACACACACACACACACACACACACACAACACAACACAACACAACACAACCTCACACCCAAACGTCACATAATCACATATAAAACCTTTTTGTTGGTGTTGTCATTCTGTATTTGTGGTGTTTCAATTATAGATTTTGTCCTATTATGTCCTGAGTCCTGACATGTCTTTAAAAAAGTACAAAAAAGTATAATAATATATAAAAAATACGAAAGCACTTGTTTCATATTCCAAAATAATATATTCTGGATAAAGATTATTCGCTTTTTCATAGTATAAATTGTCTTGAGCCATTTGTTATTTAGAACTGCATAATGGATCTGTCATTCATTTTTCCTAAAATTTCTAATTATGTTGTTTTGCATTAGTATTATTCATTTCAGATTACATACGCCTTCATTCACTTATCTAAGTCATCCTCATTTTTGCATTCTCCCTTTATCTCTCTCTTTTCTAGTTGGTCTGTCAGTTATCTCTGACAGTGTTGAGTCTCATGGTCACCATCTATCGTGATACTCCATAAACTAACCTTACCTCGCCCCTTCAGGGTCAGAGGTCAAGACAGCATAAACACAGAGACAGGCCGACTGGCCCATCAGTCATACGGCATCCCATGACAGCTGAGCTGGAACACCCATCACTCCACATCCTGCTGGTCAGAACTGCATATGACACACTTCATGATGGAAGCATCTCGATTCCCCACAGCCTCTAAAGAATCTAGAAGTGGTGGAACCGCCCAGCATGATTGGAAAAGGCTGAGTTAACGGCCATACTCGTATCCCTCAGAGAGATGCGTAAGCTCTGCGATTCATTTGGAAGCAGCCTGTTCCGTGTTCAGCATTCCAAACACAGTGTTTTTATGAATGTGCTGGCAGTCCACTGTCCTGGCTCAGAGACAGAGGGGGCTGGAGAGTCTGCTAAAGTCATTGTTTATAACTGACAAGCACTGAGATGTTTTATCATTACACAAGAGAGACATAAGGAGAAAGCAAAGCTAAACCCCAATACTATGACCTCCCTACACTTAAAAATAAAGGTGCTTCACGATGCCATAGAAGAACCTTTTTGTCTAAATGGTTCCATAAAGAACCTTTAACATCTGAAGAACCTTTCTGTTTCACAAAAGGTTCTTTGTGGCAAAAGAAGGTTCTTCAGATTCTAAAAAGGTAAGAAAGAGATGGTTCTTTAAAGAACCTTTGACTGAATGGTTCTTTGTGGAACCAAAAATGGTTCTTCTATGGCATCGCTTGAAGAACCTTTTGAAGCACCTTTATTTTTAAGAGTGTACACCAGATAGAATGCAGGATATACACAGGATACAGACAAACACATTTAGGTTTTGTTACATTAGTGAGGATATTTCACAGATGCCATTTGCTAAACCGTAAACCTCTAATGCAAACCTGTTGATCTCAGTAGATTTAAAACATTACTCAACATTACAATCAATATAAAGTTAATATATTTTAAATATCAAACTGAAACTTCATTACAAATGTGCAATTACAAATATATTTAAATACATGATATATAAGTTTAATAGAAATAACATTGAAGTATAGTTTAGTTTACCATTAACCATATTTTAAAGACAATAAAATGTTACATTTATATAAAGATTTAATTAAGTACTAGTTGGGTGGATCAAAAAAGCACTCTTTTAATTTCAGCTAATTGCATTTAATATACATTTAAGCTATAATATATATTTTTAATGACTAACATGCATTTAAGTGTCTGAAAACATCACACAAGTATATGCTTTTAATGCATATTTTTAACATCACTTTTTAAAAGTATGCTAAAGTGTACTTTTTCTCAAGAGAACAGTCAGTTGTAAACACACTTCCCTATAATAGTGATCACATTTTCAAATAATTGTCCCTTTACAAGAAGAAAAACAAAACAATCCTGTACAGTCAGATTTAAGTTTAAAATGCCTTTTAAATTAAAAAATTCAAATTCCTGAATTACAATTTGGGTAGCAAACAGAACGCATAATTGCAATTCAAATTTGAATGTAAGGAAGCAGAATTAAATAGAATTTTGAACTGTAAACAAGCGAAATTTGCAAAGACAAACTTAGAATTTTGGCTTGACAAAGCCTGTATGGAGTTTTCTTTTTTTTTTTTTTTTTGTCAGGAGATTTTGATTTAGCTAACTTCTGGGGATATTTTTCAGCAAATTTCTCTAAAAGAAAACAAGGAGATGATAAAACATGTTCCTTGTATACACAAGTTACCTGCCACAAATTCATGAAGGTCCATAAATGTATTGACACATAAGATCAGCCAAAACTGTGGCTATATGTGAGTGTGTGCACAAACACACACAGCTCAAACATAATGGTCATAAATCCCAGTGACAATTGTTTTGAGTGACTTGTAATCAGGTACAAATGCTTGCCGTTTCACCCACAAATTGCCTGCTTGTCTCTGCAATTTACTTCAAATTAAGCTCATAGTATTTTTAAGTGAACTCTTATCGCCTTGCTCTAGATGTTCTCAGGCTCTAATTGGCTAATGGGTATTTTACCCAGAGTTCACCTCTCATCCTGTAGAAGCAGGCTTATGTTCAATTACACCCATGTGGGACAACTCGGCAACAGCCCAGAGAGGTCACGGGGGTCATTACCCTGACAACCCAAGATTAATGGGGTGTTTACCTCAGTTGGTGAATGACTAGTGTGCAGATCTGTCAGCACAGAATCATACATACACAACACTCACTCTCTCTGTATCTCGCTCACACTGATACTAAACACTTTAACAGAGGTGTCAGCTTGACAGTATTCCTCTGGAACAAGCAGATACGGGAAATCTTTGAGCAAACAATGATGACATATGAACTAACACAAGGATACACACAAGATTCACACTCACACATCCTCTCAACAGTATATTTTAAG